ACGATATTGATGATCTAGGCTAACTAATTCATCTAAACTGACCATTGTTATTTGATGCTCTGACATTTATTTACTATCTTATTTTCTTATCACATTATAACCTATCCCTCATCATCTCGCAACACTCTCATAAAATAAGATCTGCATTAGGTGTTAAGCATTGTTACGCTTAATGTCAAAACACAGATTTTAAAGAATTAGTAATATATTAAGTCACTAGTTTGAAAAGTGACTATTGTATAATACAAAGTTAAATTTTAAAAATTAGGGAAATTAATTTATTAATATAATAAATATTATGTAATATTTTAGTAAAAAAGTAGGATAAAATTACTAAGTAAGCTAAAGTACAGCTAAATTCACAAAGCTTGATACAATATAATACAGTTAAGATGTCTTAAATATTTATATAATTTGTTATTTTTCTTATAGTAACTACTTATCTAATTTTTTGTTTAAATTCTTCAATGTGATTAGATAATATTAAACTAAAATTATCAATTAGGTTATTAATAGATTTTAAAATAATTTCATATTCTTGTTGTGGAAAAACATTTAATACATAATTAGATACTTCTATATTGTTAATTGGTCTACCAATACCAATTTTAATACGAGAATAATTATTATTACCTAGATATTGATTGATTGATTTTAAACCGTTATGTCCTCCATGAGTACCACCTAACTTATATTTAATTTTACCTATACTTAAATCTATGTCATCATGTATAATATAAATATCTGATAAATTTTTTATATTATAGTAAGAACATATTAAATTTACTGCTTTACCAGATAAATTCATATAAGTTAGTGGTTTTACTAATAATAATTTGTATGGTCCGATTAGACCTTCTGAAATATCAGCATTAAACTTATCTTTTGTTCTCCAAGATAATTTGTAATAATCCGATAAGTGATTAACTGTGATAAACCCAACATTATGTCGAGTGTTTTGATATTCTTTTCCTATATTACCAAGGCCTATAACAACTATCATATAAAGTATTAATGAGTAATCCTATAGATAAAATTTTTCATTAGACTTCTTGTATAACCTAATCTAGCTGGTAATTTTGTCGTCAAAACTTGTCTCCGCTTAGTAACAATCGTCTATGTAAGCTGTGGTACTCAGGCTTCGTTTTTCCTAAAAATCTCTTAACTATAACGTCATTCACAAAGCTTGATACAAGCGAACTTTTTGCCATTCGCTTTTGCTCACGTACTATTACGCTGCGCAAGGTGTAGTCTCAAATTCATCTTGTCTGAAGCTTTGTGAATTTAGCTGTATCTTTAGGTTATGCAAGAGGTCTATTATATAAAATTACACTATTATTAAATCAATAATTACCATTAAACTAATGGTCATAAATGACAATATAATTAACTGGCACTTACTTCTGTATTTTCCTCTTCTGCTTTAGACCCTCTACGGCCAATTATTGTTGCAATAATAAAATCATCTTTGTTAACAAATTCACATCCTGTAGGAAGAGTTATACTAGAGGCTTTTATAGAGTGGCCAATATACATGTTAGTTACGTTAACAACAATATTTTTAGGTATATTATTCACATCACATGATAATTTAACGGTTCTTTTGATTATATTGAAAAACCCACCTCTTTTAACCCCTAAAGATCTTTCTTTTCCTTCAAATATTATAGGAACTTCCATTTTTTGTATTTCTTTATTTAAGTATACAAAATCAACATGATGTACTGTATCTTTAATAGGGTGTAAGTCTACTGCTTTTGGCAATAGAACATATTTCTCATTATCAACCTTGAGATGAACAATCGTAGATATAAAACATGGTTTTCTATAATGTTTTGTTATCCCTTTTTCTTCTATAGAGATTGCTAATGGACTATTACCAGCTCCGTATATAATAGCTGGAATTTGACCCTCATTACGTAAAGCTCTTGCAGCGCCTGTACCATATTTTGTACGTCGGCTTGCTATAAGTTCTACTACTTCGCTCATTTTATATCTCTCTAAACTTGTTAAAATTTATTACAATGTTAATCATATTTTAAATTAACAATAAGTTACAAATAAGATTGATACCAATATTGAGTTTTCCAATTTGATTTCAAAATAAAATTTTTAATTGGTATATATTTTATAATAACTAATATACCAAAAATAATTAATTTGAAAACTGACTTAAACAATAAAGAATATAAAACAATATTTATTAAATACCCAGAACTCACGCTCATTAATAAATAACAATCAGTAACTTGCCGCATGATAACGCTAAATTATAAAAAATTCAAGCTCTTATTTTTATTAACTTCTATTAATATAGGTTAAAATGAATTCCTATATTTAATAAGGAGAAGTTGGTGTTTTGATATTCATTTTTAGAATGATTGAAATTATTGAATTCCTAGCACTTTATGTACTTGTATAGATAGGCGATATCCTGATTCTAAGGAAAGTTCCAGTGCCTTTTGCTGATTATCCTTATTTAATTGTTCATCATCTTGATCCATTGGTTGAATAAAGACTGGTATATTATACTGACTTTGCCCAACTTCTGTTATATAGCTATATTCTAGAATATTTTTAGCTACTAGAAATTTTATTGCACTAATATGTGGTAACAAATCATTACGTATGGCACTATAACCATTCTTGCTAGCTTTTGGTGAACAAACTATAAATATTTCTTTAGGGAGAGGGCGAAATAGTGTACCATTAGTTTCAATTTGTACCATAAAGTCTAAAGTCATTAATTGATAGCACAATAACTCAATTGGTTGGCGGAAAGGTTCTCCGCCTGTTAGCACAATGAGTTTTATATTTTTCTCACCTTTTGAATTTATGCTGAGTTCTTTAACTTGTTGTAGAATATTATCTATAGATAGTTGATTAAATTCTTCAAAATTAGTATCACAAAAGCTACATGCTAAATTACATCCTCCAAGTCTAATAAATATAGCAGGAGTACCAACAAAAGGCCCTTCTCCTTGAATGCTTTTAAAAATATTTTTTACTTCTAAAATTTTGCCATTACCAATAATAGGAGGCCTTTTAGGATTCTGTCCTAACATATTAACTAAATCCCTTTTAACAATTATAGATAGTATTTATATCTAAAAAATTAAATAACTAATAGTTATAATAATTCTTCTCTTCTCTTTTTTTTCTCTTCATATATTTTACCTATAAGC